GGGTGGGGGGTGGGAATGGGGGGCTGTGTATATGGCAGTGCAAGGGGTGTGGGACACACACACACACGTACGTACGTACGTACGTACGTATGTACGTACGTATACCAGCATGGGCCATGCTCCAAGGTCTGCCTATGTAGCTGGGAGCTATGTGGGGCAGGAAGGCAAGGAAGTGGCTGGGGGGCCATTGTCCATGTCTCTGATAAAACATCTTCCAGTCTTCCTGCAAGAATCTTTTGTCTCAGGAAATAGGTTATTAGCACATCATTAATACCCAGAAATAGTATGGTTTATGCTTAAACCTTTGTTAAATATCAATGCAGTGTTCCTGTATCTCAGACCCTCCTGAGATGAAAAAAGCCAATATGCATTAGAGCTTGTATATTGCCCTTCTACCATCTGAATCAAGAGGCTGATCTAGCTCAACTAGACATAGGTGTGTTCACCTTGTCAAGGGATCCTATGCTTCAGTGTGTGAACCACAGCATACTTGGTACACCTCAGATTGGGCTAGTGATTGGTATGAGACCCAGCACTGCACTTGAGCAGCTCCATTGCCTCTGTCTTGGAGTGTGTGGCATACAGAGCAGACATGCATGCCACTTCTTACAGGTAGGCCCTGTAGTTCAGTTCTTCAGTTACTGCAGAGAAATCTAAAAACCACAAGCCTGCACAGCAGACACATGGAGGGATAGAAGCAATCTTCAGATAAAGAAAGAAATCAAGTTGTTAAAAGCAAGTTAAGATTTAATAGAAAATAAACTTAGTTTTAGTATTAATAGAGAGTATTTTGAAAGCTTGGAACAGGTTTTGTCTTTGAATTTTAACCAGAGACTCCAAAAATGACAGGTTGAAATAGCTGTGTGTCTGATCAGGGCTAGTAGATTGCACAAGTAGATCTGTAAACTGCTGACTGAGTTAACAAATGATTTTTTTTTCAAATGGGAATAACTGTGTTCTCAGTTGCTGAATTTAGACACTTTTTGCAATGACACTTTTTTTTTTAATGTTCTGAAAATTACTTAATGTGAGTAGAAATACTGTAACATATTGTCTTCAACTTTAAGTTTGATTTTAGAGACTGATGTTCCACATCAATAACATTTACTATACTCCCTGTACTCTCAAAATAATAGATTCTAATGCTTTAACTTCCAAATCTCCCTAAAGGCTGCTTGATGAGATGCATGAGGTAAAATACATTTAACTGCATTGGGGCTGAAATGATAGGAAAGTGGCCCTGTGCAGCTAGAGTTGCTCTGGGTCAGTGCCTCAGGAGTGAAAGGATTTCTTTATTGGCTGAGGACATGCATCTTTCTCTCTTACTAATAAGGTTTCCCATGAATTATACATAATTTCCCTGCTGTGTTGTGTTAAGTATCAAAATCTGTACTGGAGACTTTCTGTGCATGCCCCAGTGAATCTTGACGATGCGTCCCAACTGATTGGGGCTGCCTAACCATGATCTCAAGTCCTTCTCCTTAGTTCTTCTCTAATGTAGCCTTTCCAGTTCACAAACAAGCATAATTTTGTTTTGACATTCCAGAAAACTTGGAACTGCTGGACAAAAACTTGGAGGCTCTGCTGTCCTTTGCCATATAAAACATGATCCCATGGACCCTGGTGGATGCTTCACATTAACCTCAGCAAACGTGGGGAAGTGCCAAACAGTTCTCTGTAGGAATGGAAAACCTCTGCCTTTGTCTAGGTGTTATGTGATGAGTTACGAAGAAGAGCTCAAGAGGATTAAGCAGCATAAGGCCATTATCACAGAGGTAAGACCACTCCAAAGGGAATATTGAAGCTGCAGTTTCCTTGGGACTGATTTCTATGGCAACAAACTCTTTAGTAATGTTTCTGTTTTATATAAGGTATAGCTTAACAGTCAAGGTGCTAGAGTTTCATCTTCCCCTTCCTGTACACTTGTCACCATGGTCTAGTTCAGGAGTGACCAACCTGCAGTATGGGTGGCATGGGCAGCCTCTGGGTGTGGCACTTAACAGATTGGAGAGAGGACAGACAGCACGGTGGCAGATTATCAGGGAGAAGAAAGCAGAGCAGTACGTTTTTCAGGGTGCATAAGGCAGGGAGCAGAAAGCAGGGCAGCAAATCGACTAGGGGAAGGGGATTGGAGTGGTACTCAGAAAGGTGCAGGGCCAATTTGTGGTATGCCTGCCAAAAAGGTTGGTCCCCCCACACTGGGCTAGTTGCTGCTGCTGCCTAGATGTCTGCCTATGCCAGAGGTGGGCAATTATTTCGAGCGGAGGGCCATGTACCCAGTTTTGGCAGGCTGTGGAGGGCTGCATGGGTAGCCCCACCCCTTAGCGGGTGCCCTGCCCCTTGGTCGCCATCTTGTGACTGGAAGTCCCGCCCTCTAACCCCTGACCTTTGCCACCACAAGTCCCTCCCCTTGCTGCCAGAAGTACTCCTTTCAGCAAGGGGTGTTGTCATCTCAGAACCAGAAAAATATCAAATTATATTCTAAAAAGCAAACATTTAAAACATTAATTAATTTGATTTTAAAAAATATTTTTGTCCTGATTTACATTTTTGTGTAGTGTACATAGAGGTGACTGTATAATAGCGTAAAATGAAGTTTTACTCCTGTATATTGGGGGGTGGGGGGCTGCTGTGGGTGTGTCTGGGGGGGGGGGATAAGTGAGCATGTGGGAGTGTGTGTGGATATCTGGGTGTGTGGGTGGGTATGGGGTTTGTGTGGGGGAGGGTGACTGGGCTGTGTGAGGTGGGGTGTGGGAATGGGGGGCTGTGTATATGGCAGTGCAAGGGGTGTGGGACACACACACACACGTACGTACGTACGTACGTACGTATGTACGTACGTATACCAGCATGGGCCATGCTCCAAGGTCTGCCTATGTAGCTGGGAGCTATGTGGGGCAGGAAGGCAAGGAAGTGGCTGGGGGGAGAGGTGGGGTGCTGTGTTCCTGC